TCATGTTGGATGACTACATCATTACATAACTGCCAAACCACTGAGAATCATGGCCCAGCCAAGTTGACACACAACCTTTACCATCACAAGGGGTTAATATCTACGATGCCTATTTTAGAGGCACAAAATTCAATCCGTAACACTGTCTCTCCCTCGGTTTCAATCTCTTGCTCTTCTCCCCTTTGTCAGATCTACAAGCCAAAGCTGAGGTCTTTCCTGTTAGGTTGAGGAAAGAAAGCAAGTGTTTCAAATTTCCAGCACATGATTGAATATTTTGTTTCCCCTGGCAAAAGTTTCTCCCTTGGGCGGCTTTTCCTGGCCTTTCCAGCCCTTTCTCCTCTCTGCGTGTGGAGTGAATGGTGCTGTACTCTGAGCGTTCTCCTTGTCCTATGGATCCTTGCATATTCATACTCATTGTACTGTGTTATAATTTATTTGTCCATGTGTTCATCTTCTGGTATTTTGACTGCCTCCTTTCCACTCAGTTTGTGAGGGAAGAAGTCCTGTCCACAGGTCCTAGGAATGGCAAAAACACTCGATGCCAGACACTGGGCAGATAAGACTGATAGCCATTTATTTTTCATGTGTACTCACAGCCCAGGGCAGGAAGACACCATACTCCACACATGGCCACATGCAGCTTGCACTCAGGAGCAGAGTGAATGAGCAGGGGCTGTGGAAGGCAGACTTTGTAGTATCAAGAAGATGAGGTGCCCCCTGATTCCTGTGGGAGGATGAAATTGGCTTGAATAATTCTGCAGGCTGGCAGAAAACTGAAGCCCACTGCTCAGAGATACGTAGGAACTGTGCCTGGTCCCTATGATAAGGAAGGTCTGGCTAGGGGCTCTTATCTGTAGGAGCAGAGTAGGGAGGGGAACTTATGGTTGGGCCACCGTAGGCCTTCCCAGTTTCACCAGGTGTCAATGCACACATAATATTGGGCCTTAATTTTAGGCTTCCCGCCACATCTGGTAGGAATGTGTGCTTGGATGTGAGATTGGGTCTCACTTGTTTTTATTTCCTTAGTACCTGGCACGTGCTTGGCACACAGAAGGCCAATAAAATCAGTGCTATTGAACAGATGCACTGAATAACAGAAGCAAACTGTGTTTGTCTGGATGCTAATGTTCTACTGGGATACAGCATGACTGGGTAAACACAAGATGGAAATACACAGATGAAAGTACAATCCTGGGATTTTTAAGGGGAACAAACTTGTTTGTTTTTCCCCATCCCACACTGCTGCCCAGATCTCTACCACTCCTAGAGAAATGACTTAGTTTCCCTACTTTTTTACCTTCCTGAAGGGGCGGGCAGAGATCACTTTTGAGTCTCTGCTGTCCTAGAGTAAAACTCTCAGACTCTGTTAAAGTGAAACAAAGAGATTTATTGAAAGCATAAGAAACGTCTGAACGGGGAGATGTTAGTTCACACAGA